TTGGTTAGCATTAAAGTCTCTCAGAATTATGAGATACCAGTTTTTAGCTCTGGCTTCTGTGGTTCAATTGAGTAGCTGAGACTGAGTTTGTTTCAGGAGAGAAGGGTGGTTTGATGGAAGGTAGGTTGAGATAATCCAAGACTTGTTGCTATTTGAAAAATAAAAATCAATACAAATTGCTGTTCTAGGAAAAGTATGAATTCTATGAATATATGGTTGCAGTTGGTTGCATATTATTAAGGCTGTTCCTAAGCTGGTTTTTCGTTAGTTTGGCTTATAGAGCAAGAAGTTTGAAGTAAATATCTTGTAAAATGGGTTGGTTAGCGATCTCATTGCTGAGTTTTTTAGCTTTGTTTCAGTGAGAGAAATTATATAAAGATTTGTTTCTATGCAATATTCAACCCAAGTTTGTACTTTTAAAAGGTTATTAAACTCTCTAATGTTATGAGTAGCTATGTTAATTTTTTTGTGTATATCAAGTTCTAGTTGTTTTGATGTGTTCACATTTTCTGCAAACAGCAGAGTTTCTGTAGAAGGATTTATACTCATTGGTTATCTGTACTGGAGTCTGGCTCAGCTTCAGACATTTGTATATCTGTTATTGTTGCAGGTATTTCTTTTGGTTTTGATGTTGTAGTTGTTTTTTGTTCTTCAAAGTTATCGAAGGATGGTTCTGATAGATCGATTAGGTTGAAAATATATTCTGGTACTGTATAGTATACAAAATATTATCAAAGAGTTTCCAGTACTAGTGAAATATTGTGATGTTTCCTTATAGAAACATTTATATTAGTAATTTTTTTTTCTTGAAGAGCAGATTGGAGTTGTTCAACTGTTGATAGTAATTTAGTTAAATTTGATTCAGTTTCTGGATGCTTTTTTTTAATATTAATCCAGGATTGAGATATAATATAGAAATAATAGTGTTTGTGTAGAGCTTTAGCTATGATACTTAATTCTTTGGGAGTTGAGATCGGTAATATCAGATTGATAAGATTAATTAGTTCAGCATCTTCAGGCAAGTTAGGAAGGTCTGTGTAGTTGAAGTTACAATATACTTGTAGCAGTAGTGTTGAGATATTATAAATGGATGGAATACTTTTAACAAAAGTATTCACCTCTTCTTTGCTTTGCAAGGAAAATTTGAAGTTTGTCATTTTTAGTTGCATTGGGTTTGAAGGTAGACATCTACGAGAAATGATATAATCATTAGAGAGTCTTGTAAATAAGTAATCTACTTGCAGGAGTCTAACGTGCTCTTTAAAGTCTTCTTGGCTTCGGGCAAGAAGAGAAATTTTTCTCTTAATCTTGGTGTTAGTTCTTGTAGAGTACAAGGTAATAGTTGTTTTAGAGCAGATAAGTTGAAATATTCTATTGGGATTTGTTAAAAAAAGTAAAACTTCTGAAGCGACTTATCTATATTGGCCTAAGTTTTGTAGGTCTGCTCTGCTTGTGATAGAAAAGAAGTTACGTACTTTATCTCTTAATTGTTTGTAGGATGCAGACAGAGGTTCTCTGGTATCTGAGATGTAAGTATTAGGCATTCTATTAAATGAGAATATTAATTGTAAGGTCTTGACAACAGGTGCAATAAGTTGTCGATTTGGGATTAGTAGAATGAAGGGAATTGCTTTTTGTAAGTATTTTGGGATAGATTTAGGTTCTGCAGGTAGGGGTATTAGTGCTTCTGTAATAAAATTTGAGACTGCAAATCATGTTGCATCAAAGTTAAGCTGCTTTGGGATTTTTGCAAATCCTGCCAAGTAGAATATGTATCTAGTAATTTCGTATACATCTAGAGAATTGAAGTCTAAGTTGGTTAGGTAGTCTAGAGCCAACTTTACACATAGTAGTTCAAAGATCTGGTCTCAGTTTTTCTTGTTTGTAGCCAAAACATCATATTGTTTTTTGTATATCTCTAGAGCATTTGTAAATAGATCATTGAATTCTTTTTGGTATTGAGGTCTGATTGCTAAAACTCGAGTAAAGCAGGCTGTGTCTCAATGAAAAAATTTAGCTGTTATTATGAGTGGGATGTATTTAGTAGTTGGTTTTGTTGAGAGCTTATATTTAATTAATTCTTTGAGGTCTTGAAGTGAAGTTAGTGCATTTTTAATTTTTTAACAAGTCCAGATTGTTGTATCGAAAAGCTCAAGTTTTTCCTGTCAAATTTCCTTTAAGACTGCTTGTATATGTTCTTGCTATTCTTTCTCTTTATCACTCAAAAAATGCCTATTTGGGGTTTTTCTAGTTTTGTTTGGAAGATCTTTACTAACTGCTTGGCTGTATGATATTTTTGTTTGTAGTTGTTCATCTAATATTGTATTGATCGACCAAGTTTCTTCATTGTCTTCACTATCTGAGTTTGTTACATTCTGGTCTATTTTCATATCAAATAAGCTGTTTGTAAACTGATTGGGTCTAGATTCAGATTCAGGTAGAACCGGATTGTTTACTTTCCATTGTGTTCTGCTGCAGGGAGGTTATATCAGATTTGGAAGGTTCTTGGACTGGGATCTTCTTATTTTGTTTGTCTGTGGGAAAGTTGTATATAGTAGGTTGTTTCGGGTTCTGGATCAGGTCTGTTGTTGTTTTGTGTGATGATATCATCTCAGTCAGATTCAGGAGTAAACTGAAATTTGCTAATTCTCTAATTTTTTCTTCAGCCATATTGCTGTCTGTAGTGGGTAGTGTAGAGGCAAAAATATTATCTACAGTTTTACGCTTTTTTTTCTTATTTTGTTCTTCTATTGAGCTATAGTTTTCTATATAGATGTGTGTAGGTCGTGTTTTCTTTTCTTGAGCACCTATAGCACACTTTTTGTTATTCTTGTTGTTGTTTTTGTTAGTTGCCAACTCAGTTGGCAACAAAGTTAAGAAGGAGACTGGAGTGCAGAAAGCTGTTTCTCTGTTCCGTTTAATCTTTGATAGTCTTTGTCTGTAACTATATTAGTATTTGTAATAATTATTGTCTGAAGCATAACGGAGGACTTACAATGGAGACGTAAACTACACAAAATGTCTTGGATTCCGCTCACGTGATATTGAGCCAATCGGTATTTAAAAACATAAAAACAATCATACATGCATACATCACTTGATCATATCACTTTGCTTGAATGTGTGCCAGGTTTATAACGCAGCAAAAATTTTTCGAAGTTTGATTATATTAGGTTAGTATAGTAAAATTGTCTAGTGAAAACTTTTTGTTAAAGCACTAATGAAGGTTTTCTATACAGATTTTCAAGAAATGGGTGATTTCTGACAAAGCAGACATTTATTTTGGATTTTGATCATGTTACGTTACACCTGATCTTGAAATCTGATTCATAGTTCAGGACTTCTGCGACACAAATATATATATATACATATAAATGTGATTTTTGCCTATCGATTTTTTTTACTTTTACACTATACTATTTTATTCGATATTTTTTTAATATTGATATATATAGCAATAGTCATTTATTGTTTTCATATATATACATACCCGTTACATGATATTGTAACTGTATAATAACGTATCTTTTTTATTTTGTATCCTAAATTAATTTTCATCATATTACAGTATCATACAATACTTTTTTAAGCTGTTGCATTTTCCATTCTGCCTAATTGTTCTTCCTTTCTTTTTCTTTCTTGTAATCTTTTGTACTTTTTTATTTTCTGTAGTCTCTCGAATGTGAAAGGATTCAAGAGAATATCGTCAAGAGAACGAACACGTGATGTGGCCACAAAAGACAGTCCAGCTGCAAATTCCTTCTTGCCAAGATCCACAATAGCCCTTGGTAATGTTAGACCTTGTGATTTATGTACTGTAATAGCCCAAGAAAGCGAGAGTAGAATTTGCAACCAGGAGCATATTCTAGTTTTGCCCTCCTAAGTACACAAAACTGAAATAATTGGTATAACCTGTGTTCCTTCTGGTGTTGTAATAGAGGGGCCACGATATTCGTCAAAAGAAACCAAAACAGCAATGGGCAAAGAAGTGTTGCTCTGTCTATTTTTGAAAAGAATGTCAATCACTGTTTCCATTGCACCATTTACGAGTCTAGCAGTTACCTACAAATTTGCATTAAGCATAACGCGTGCTTTCTTAGCTAGTAGTAAAACTGGATCAAGACCTCCGGCGACATCTGAATCAGCCTTTGAAGCTTCAGAACCACCTGTATGAACTGCACAAATTTTAAGCACAGGCTGATTTAATGAATGAAGCTTAGCTAAGTTAACTGTATCAACTTCATTCCATGTTGAAAAAATACTAATAGAATCTAAGAATTGATTTCGCTCCAATTTAGGCAGACTTTCCGGAATACGTGACATTAAAAGTTCCCAGTCTGATTGAATGGATTCCCCATCACACAGGCATAATAAAAGGTCCCTAAATTTGCGTTGTTTGTCTGAATTACCAGCCTGTCGTTATACAACCTCGAGCCTATATGTTTCCTGAAATTGACTGTAAGCATTTCATCCATCTTCAGATAAAGGATCTGATGGATGAGTGTCTTTACAGTACATTGGAAGGTCACCTACTGGAGGAAGCTGTCCAAAATCGCCAACAAGAATTATTGAGCATCCACCGAAAGGTAGATTACTGTAATCTGGAAATGCTTAACGTAATCGTAAATCAATTAAAGCTAGTAGGCGACGTCCTACTATACTCATTTCATCTATAATAATATATTTTACTTCCTGTAGCTTATTTTGGAGCTTTTTAAGTTCATTGCCTGTAAGGTCAAAATTATTAGAAGTTATCAGAACCGAGAGTGTTGAGTGAATAGTACTGCCTTGAATATTAAAGGCTGCAACACCCGTTGGTGCAAGTACAAGTGGAGGCGGACTTTGTTCTTGTAATAGGTTATTATTTTTTCTTGCTATCTCATATATTATTTTTCGGATAATCTTGATGAGATGAGATTTTCCAGTTCCAGCAGTACCCATAATGATTATTTTAAATGGCTCTACATATTGACCAGAAACTACGGCGACATAATGAGATTCTATACACTTGAATATAATTTTTGTTTTTTGTTTAGCGTGCTCTGATCAATTTCTACATCATTTTCAATTTCAGGAGTAATAGTATTATTATGCATTGCCTGCTGAATAAAAGTTCTGACATTTTCTAATTCAGGATATCGTAGTTGATTTTTACCTTCCCAATCGTAACTTATGTCTTCGTTGCGAGTTTCAAGATTCAAGTGAATTAATGTTGTAGATGGGATCATCTCTGAAAGTATCATCCAGTCAGGTCGAGGTTCATTTACCTGATTACTATTTTGATCTTGCATATTATTCTGGTCTTCATCTTCAGATTTAGAATCTTCTTTGTAAGCTTCAATATTCTCCACTACAGGTCCAATTAGATCCGAAGAAGCTGAATTTATTTCTGGAAGATTATGGTTATATAAATCTACCCATGAAAGATTTCCATTATCAGTAAGTTGTGAGATATCTTTATGGCACACATGTAAAAGAACCTTCACATGACAGAAGTTATCCCATTAGTGACCATTTATTAACGAAGATGGATGGGGCCAAATATGTATAATATTTTCTTGTTTACATTTTACCCAATTTTCTTTCACGATTTTGTATTATAGATACAGAAAGATCTTGATATTCAGCTGGCCTACTCCAATATCATTGAAGATATGAGAGACCTGTTCTTCCATCTTCATGTTTGTCATTATCACAAAGCAAATGATTCGCCTCTTTGTTGAGATTTAAGATGATAAAATTTCTGCTGCAGTAATATAGTAGTATTTAAAGAAGATGATGACAAGTCTCTTGGGCAGAGTAATCCCGTTCTGCCACTGTGTGAAGAAGAAGTTTCTGAAATGCCTTTAAAGCAGGATCATCAGGTATATTATCATGAAGAGCTTTATTTAACACCTTTGAAAAAGCCAGAGATTGTGGCTCTGCCTTGCTAGCATACTTAGATACATATTTCAAAGCTGCATGAAGTGTGAGGACAGGTTTCAGATTGACATTTGCTCGCCACCCTTGGAGTTGAATACGATTGTGAGGATTTATAAGAGGATCATTTCTAGCTATAATCAGTTCTAGACGATCATCATTATGTTGCACAACTGTTTGATTGCACAATTCTTTGGGAAATCTAAACCTGCAGGCCTGTTTACCTGTTTGTTTATTGGTTCGCAAACAATAAGACGTGCTGCAATGCGTATGTCGTTGCAATTTGTTTATTAATTTAACATAATCTTGTAGAGCAATTTTTGAATCTGTGCCCGGTTATGCATGATTATGCATGATCTACAAATCAGATTTGAGAATCAGGTGTAACATAGCACAATCAAAACAAACGTTCGTTTTGCCAAAAATCGCTTCTTTCTCAAAAATCTGTATAGTAAACCGCCTTTAGTGCACTAACAAAAAGTTTTCCTTGTGCGATTTTACTATAAAACCACTTAGCTTTTAACTTTATACAAAATGCTAACCTTAACATTAATGAACTTTAAAGAATTTTACATGGTGATCGGCATCATGCATAACCGGGCACAGATTCAAAAATTGCTCTTGTAGACTATTATCAAGATTTTCTATAGATTTCTGACATGAGTGGCAACTTGGTGGAGGTGCATGCTGATCAGGATTTATTGTTTTTACTAACGAGTCTAAGTAGCGCACCACTTCTTTCATTTTTTCTTGATTATTACTCATTTTTTCCCATTCAATTATAGGTGCTTCTCTCTGTTTTGCAATTCCATGCACGTGTATACTATCACGGTGTTGCCATTCAAAACGGTACTACCAATTTACTAATCCCCATTTTGGTATTAAAACCTTCTCAAAGAAAATTTTAAACCACTTTTCAAAATACCATGCAGCAATGTGGGGATTGTTTATGAGATCTTTGTGCCTACGTTTTGCAGCTTCTTGATCAGTCTCTCGCTCTAAAGAATTTTCTCCACTGGGCATGAGTTTATGCAGATTAGGCCAATGCAAATCAGCCACACTAAATGTAAAAAAGATCATTCTCTGATGCCCCAGCTGTTTTATCATATCTGTTAATTTAGCACTATAACGCATCCAATACTGTTAGGTACCGCGTAGACCTTCACCATATCGCACTACACGGTTTGCCATGTTAGGATCGTTTTGCATTAAGTCCAGAACCTCAGCTGCAGTTAATTGCTTTTCTTCTAAATTCTGTCAAACAAATATCCGGCCCTCTAATAATGCTCTCCATCTCATTAGTGTATTTAACGCAAAATAGCGTCATTGTGGATAATGAGCAAATCAACCATCTTTATAAAGCAGCAGATGCTTGAAATATTCTGCTGGCTTTACTTCTTTGATTCTGTGGCTGCGAAAGTCTGCAATACCTCAAGGAAAAAGTGTTGGAAATGCTCGTGCCATATACTCGGGGGCACAAAATTCATTAATAGATGAAGCTTCGATATATGGCCAATCAACCAATGAATTTTCATCTGTTAAATTGCTTGGTTGCATTTGGTTAAGTGCTTCATTTATTGCATCATTTTCACTACGTCCAGGTGGTATAGAGGGCACAAAGGTCTGTGAACTAAAACCATTTTCAATTGTTTCGTTATTTACTTCATACGAATTTATATTTTCTTCACTTGATTCTTCATAATTAGTTTCATCATCTAATAATTGTGGAAGCTGATCAATAATCGATCTATTTTCTGATAAAGATTGCAATATACCATTATCGATATCAATATCTTTGTAGAACACATTATTGGCCTTTAACCAATAAAGTGCTTGTGCTATTTTTTTCCGTCAAATATGAAAGTCATGAAAGGTAGATCTGTTAGTCAAATAGCATCTAACTACAAGTGTATTCAGTGATGATGGGTTACGTGGTAAGCGGGTCACATATTTCTGCACGTCTTGCAGAAAATTTATAACATTTCCTTGATATGCATATTGCCCTCCGCGAAGTGTATATACTGATATGACAGAGAACACTTGTGCAATCAGCATTTCTTCAGTATTAGTTAAACCCTGAAGTTGTGGTAGAATATCACCTAAAAAAAGTTAAGTATGCTAAGATTATATCAATAAGCAGTTAAATATTCTTACCAGGATCTATATTGTTCTCCACTGAGAATTTTTTAACGTCACTTTTTTCATAATGACAACGACGGCATTCTTCTCCATAAAGTTCAATTGATGGAAATCGTTTATTACACACGAGCAAAGTTTATTTTTAAGATCATTGATTGCATTGTGAAAATCTGAGAGAAGCTTATAATCTTGGCTCAAAATATTTTCTGAATTTTCTATTACTTCAGAAAACTGTACTTCAGAAGACTGTACTTCAGAAGACTGTACTTCAAAAAAATTTGTTAAGGCATGTATTCTTCATTTATTTGATGTGTTTTTATTTCTTGCATTGGCTCTTTGCTCTTCAGTTTCATTTGCTTTTTTTTGTCTATATAATTTACGCCTGCAAGCAAGGCATGCCTCACGTTCTTCATTTGTTTCTGAGGCTAATTTTTTGCATTTTCGGTTTCGGTCATTAGCCCGACGTGCCTCTAAGCTAAGTACCAAATTTTTTTTATTTTCATTAGCTTTTTCATTTTGCATGTTTAAATTTATAAGTGATGTTAATATAAGATTAATTTTTGGTATTAATTTGTTAGATTGTCTGTTCTTATTAAAGCAGAAAGGTTATGATCATTTTGTATAATCAAACTTATATATACTGTACATTCGTTTAACATGAATAGATGTTAGTTCATCCAATAATTTATTTTCTTATATTATTACGGGATTTCAATTTTAGAAAAATTAGTTTCATTTAATTTGCTATTCGCAATTGTTTAATAGATAAATATGAACACTTATTTATTTGAATCATTCAATTTCTTTAATTACACTATTACTCAATGCCTCTTATTAATTTATTTATCACAGGTTAACTTTGTGTTATAGTATAAAAATATTTTTAACTAATAATTTTAAATTACCTTAGTTGAGGGATGTCTAAAGCAGAGGCGCTCATATTTCTTAATAATATTATCGATTAATTATAGGGTTAGGGCCATCCTATATTAGGGTCAGGATAGGTTTTAGGTAGTTAATATTGCCTTTCCGACATTTTTGATTAACCTACCCGGTTTTTGGTTTTTATTTTTTATTTTGCTTCACCGGCAAACATCAAAATTCTATAATTTGATTGGTGGTTGGTCACATGATTTGCCTTCGCTTTAGATGTTCCACTTAGTTGGCTATTATAGAAATATATGCCGTATTTTATTCATTTATTTGTGCTAATTAGCTTAAAATCTCTTATTAATCGACGTACTTTATTAAGCAATCTAAGTTTGGATAGATTAGTTGCGCAACAAAAATTTGGCAAATTGACCAAAACTCCATGTCGAAATGCATTGGAACTAGACTGTAATTATGCAATAAAACTAGCATCTGAGCATTTTTACTTAATACATGAACTACTGGTTTATTAGTAAAATTTTGTGTGTATTTTAGCCTAAATTTGTCAATTTTGATCTTATCTTGCCCAAGATTTTGGTTGAACTGCTAAATTTGTTTTTTCATCTATTTAGTGATTTGTAACAGATGGCAAAATAAAAAAGCAAATATTTTAATCATTAATATTTGTAGTAATATTAATTTTTATTTTTTTTATTTTAGTAATTAGTATATAATATATCCTTTTCTTGATAAATTATTTGTATAAGATTTGATTAAGTGAAATTTTTTCACTTTAAAAAACAAATAGTTTGATTTTACTTTTGTTTTTAAAAATTATAATAATTAATTCTTAAAACTCTTTCCCGTACATCACTAAAATTAAGTAAACAAAAAAGTAAAAATCGAAAAAAACCATAGAACATAATTAAATAACTATAAGATACAATAGCAGGAAGTGTGTAGCACACTCCAACAGACCTAATAGACCTACAATACATAACAAATAACAAAATAACTAAAAGAA